AACCGAGATAGTTGGGGTGACTGTTAATATCAGACAAAATAGACTTTAAGTCAAAATCTGATGTAAGAGACCAACAATGGTATTATGTATTGAAAACAGTTCATTCAGAAAATATGAAAATTATAAATATATATGCACCTCTCATCAAAGCCCCAAAATATAAGAAACAAACTGACAAAATTAAAGGTGAAATTGACAGCTCTAAAATAATAGTTGGAGACTTTAATAGACCACTTTCAATAATTGACAGAAAATCTTGAGTGAAGATCAATAAGGAAGTAGAAGAACTTCAGCAACAAGATAAATCAACTAGACTTATTAGACATATATAGAATACTCCAGCCAACAACAGTACAATACACATTTCTCCAGTGCCCATGAATCATTCTTTAGGACAGATCAGTTGCTAGCTCACAAAGTAAATCTCAATAAATTTAAAAAGATTGAAATCATACAAACTACCTTCTCAGGCCACAATGGAAGGAACACAGAAATTAATAACAGAAGAAAAACACACAAATAGGTGGGAAATTAGCAACACACTATTAAACAAGCAATCAAGGGAGAAATCACAAAATATTTAAAATAAAATGAAAATGAAAGCACAACAGACAAAAGGAGGCAAAGGCAGTGCTGAGAGGGAAATTTATAGTAACAAACAACTATATCAAAAAAAGAAGAACAGTCTCAAATCAATAACCTAAATTTACAATTTAAGGAGACAGAAAAAGAAGAGCAGGCAAATCTCACAACTACCAGAAGGAAGGAAATAACAAAGATCAGAGGAAAAATGATATGTTGTCATTGTTAGGTGCTTTCAAGTTAGCTCCAACTCACAGTGACCCTATATACAACAACAAAATGAAACACTCCAATCCTTGCTATACCTGAGCCCATCATTGCAGCCATTATGTCAATCTATCTCATTGAGGGTTTTCCCCTTTTTTGCTGACCCTCCGTTTTCACTAAGCATGATATCTTTCTCCAGGGAACGGTCCCTTCTGACAATATGAACAAAGTAGGTGAAGAAGTCTGGCCATTCTTGCTTCCAAGGAGCATTCTGGCTGTACTTCTTCCAGAACATATTTATTCATTCTTCTGGCAGTCCATGGTACTTTTAGTATTCTTTGCCAACACCACAACTCAAAAGCATCAGCTCTTCTTCAGTCTTCCTTATTCATTGTCTAGCTTTCACATGAATATGTAGTGATTGAAAATACTATGGCCTGGGTTAGGCACACTTTAGTCTTCAAAGAGACATCTTTGCTCTTCAACACTTTAAAGAGGTATTTTGCAGCAGATTTGTCCAGTGCA